GTTTATTGTCTTTTTGAAACAGTGCAAGTAATTTGGGTGAGTTAGAAGAATATATGGTTGAAGAATAGGAAAAAATCCTCAACTCACTTTTAAAAGATTTGATAATGTCAATGGAGTGGAGGTGTCAGAAGGTAATTGAGAGAAATGGTGAAAGAATATCATACTAATTTTTTTACTGATAATAAAATAAGACTTAATCTATCTACATTATAAATTATACATTGCCTGATACAATAGTTTGCTTATTATTACGTGATTTGGAATAACAATTTTTTTTGTCCCCTACTGTATATAATGATCTTAATTTCATTTAAAGTTTTAAAAAAAAATTGAAAAATTATTATATTAAAATCAAAGTAATACTTTTTAATTTAATGTCTCTAGATAACCTCAACTTATTTTTCAACTATTAGTATACATTTTTGTTATTAGATAAAAATAGAACAAGTATTCTTAAAAAATTAATAAAGCAAAAATTAAATTAAGAACTATATATTTCTTGAAATAAACTTAATATTAATATTAATATTAATGAAATAATTAAAACCCTTACCTTGAAACAAAAAACTGAAACATCTATATTTCTTTAAATACTTTTGCTTTTATTGAAGAAAAAATTAATAATAATATTATGCAGCTCAATTATATAGATAAAACATAACATATATTAATTCCTAAATACAATAACAATTAAACCAGCCTATCTGTATATATAACTGATAATCAAATAATATTATATATAATTTCAAGTATCAATACTTCTATTTACATATTTTTATATACTGTATAATATATTTAATTAAGTCAAATATGAAAATTAATAACTAATTTTTTTCTAATTAATCAGTTAAAACTATAAAATTATTGTTAAACTTATAAATCAATAAAACTAATTAGATATTTAAATTAATTTAAAAAAATATCCAATCAATTTTAATAAACATTAAGTTTCTGAAAAGTACTAAATTTGTATTAAACTAATATTAAAATAGTATTGATTTATAGTAAATTAAATATATGGATTCTAATTTACTTATATGATTTTATAATAAATTTAAGTATCAAACTAATATCAAAGTAGTATTGAAGTAGTATAATTAAGGCCCTAATAAATATTAAAAATAATATATTTTTTTCTAAATAAAATAAATTAATTATATTATATAAAAACTTAATCAATATAAACATTTTGTCAAGTTTATTGTAAATCTTTTTCTCAAAATTAAAAGTAAATTCACAAATCAATAAAAAACTTTATTCAAAAAAATATTTTCAAAGATCAAATATTATAATTGTGATTTTTTTAAAATATTTGCAAAAAACAATATAGTAAAGAGCCAATATCAACTGAAATATAAAAAAATTAAAATAGAATTTTATATTAACTATTTAAAACAAACAATATTGGATATATTATAAAAGCAATATTAGAGTAATTATTAATAAGACACTTTTTGTCATCTACTTTAAATCTATCAATCTATATTTCTTAAAGTTCTAACAAGTTGTTCAACTGTTTAAATACAAATTAAACCTTTTTATAAATCTTATATTTATAAAAGTTAACTATTATGAAATTTAGAATATCTGTAAGAAATTTATTAAAAAAATTTTTTCAAAGTTTTTAAAAAATTCAAAAGATATTTTATTTTTAATTAAAATCAAGTTATTAAAGACTATTTTATTATTTTTAACTAGAAAAGTCAATAAAATAGCAAGTAACCTAAGAGATTTTTACAACTTTTATATTCTTTTACTCTTATATTTCATTAAAAAATTAAACTTTTTCAATTATTTTCAAAATCTTGAATTAGAGTCTAAGAATATTTTCTCTCTTATTAGTAGACAAGAACTTGTTAATTTTAAATTTAAAGTCAAATAACTTAGAAAACATTATTATGTTTTCAAATAAACTACTAAAATTATATTTTAATTTTTTTTTATCAAAAATAATGATATTTTTATTTTACAAGAACCTTTCATTACACTTGACAAAACAATTTTCAATTAATAACATTTATAAAAATCTATATTTCTCTGATATAACAAATTCTGTAGCACAAAAAATACTCTAGCCTAGGACTATTTTAATTCAATACTTGTTTAAAAGAAGAAAAACAAATAACAAGAGAAACCCAAAGCTACAGGTAATATCAAAAAGCTTTTTGAGATTTTAGATAAAAATGTTCAAGATATTTGAATGTTTTAATTATTTTTATAAGATTGTACAGTACTTCTCTTATAACAAATATAATTGAAACAGAATTTAGGTTATATTAGATAGTTTAAAACTAATATTAAGATTTTTATCTTTTAAAAATTTTATCTGATATGCAAGCCTATTTTTTTGAATGGTAAACTGATATACTGGACAAGTCTATAAGTGAGAAAGCAAATTAACTTAAATGAACCTAAATATGTATATGTATTGGATATAAATAACACAATAATAAATTGTATATATAGCATCTTTTACTTAAAAATAAATAAATAAATAAAATAAAGTTTATATTTAAAATAATTATCTAATGGTTATTAAAATATTGAACTTGAATTAATACAAAGATTTATTAATTTAAATTATTTATTTAACTGCATTCTATTTTAATAATATAAAATTCAAAAAAAATATAATATAAAATTCAAATATAAATAATAACCATATATAATTTTGAATTCAAATATAAATAATAACCATATATAATTTTGAATTCAAATATATATATTTTTTATGAAAACTTTACTTCATATTTTCATAATTTAATTTTTGATTTTTATGTAAATTTTAAATCGATAAATATTTTATTATATTTTTTATTGTATTTTATAATTATAAATGATAATTTCGAAACTATTGTTTTTAAGACCCAAATAATTATTAATTTCAAAAGCAGATCTTATTTAATACAGTATAATTAAAATAGTATCAAAAACTTCAGTTTAAAGATTTTTTATTACGAAATTAAAAATTGTAGCTTTATACAGTACAGTATATGATGATAAGTCGGTTATTATTATTCATTAAAATGTAATGCAAGTGAATATTGAAAATATAGAAAGAGACAATTTATTTTACAAATGCTCAAATGATATCCTGAAATGAGAATTGAGAAAGCCGTTATCATTCACGAAGTGTTTGCCCGAAACCCTATGCCAATTTATCTATTAATAAGAGGCTTCCGTGAATTTTCTCCAGATTGATATGACAACAAATTAATAATATAGTAGTATACTAATAAAATACAACGGTGCATGCCATCTTCTCAAAAAAATATGAAACCTTATTCCCGAATGAGAAAAAAAAAAAAACCCGTATTCTACATTCCACAATTATTTATCATCCCCTGTACACACCTCCATACCGGCCCCGAAACCAGGCTCTCCATTCATTCCACAGATTTATACTTGTTCCAAACACCACAAATATACTCAAACCTAATATTGCGGTTAATGACTCGGCCAGGCATATGAATAAAATGCTAGGAACGTAATTCGAGGAGACTGTCGAATAACAATAATCCTGGGCGTTAATGGTACTGTTTGTGTTGCTGACAGTCATGACACATAAAAACCATTTGTTTAACCATGCAGATTTTTGTGAATTTAGGAGTGGCGAGAGTTTGACTTTAACGACATAAATGTATACCTGTGAAAGGAGAAGGCAGGAGTTAGAAGATATGAAGAATCAATCGAAACCTCTCGTTGGAACTCACCCAATAGATAATGAAAGTTAACAAAAACACCATGGATAGCACTAACGCCCTCCACTGAACCTTTATAGAGTTGACCACATCCTTTCCAGAAACACTTTTGATAGATTGAACTGAGATTGAGGGAGGACTTTCGCATAAGGTATCTTCCGAATCGAAATCATCATTCATCAAACACTGGGACTAAAAAAATACAGAAGTGGTTCGTTCAATAATGCCATTGATTTTCAGCATAAGAAATAAACAAAAAGTTACTTTGGCAATGTAAGCAAAAGTCCATATGTGTATAAAGAAGCCTGGTATCACAATAATCGCCAGTGGATACCAGAAATATTGATTAATCATTTTCATTGACACCAAGCATACGGCCCCAAATTCAAATGAGATTTGTTGAGTGATCGTCGGGAGGATAGTAAATATTAAAGAAACGACGACTACGAGGCATTGGGTGATCGTATAATATTGTTGTATGATGTTGCATCGCCAGACGGTTTGGAGATGCAACTGGATGATAAGAAGGAAACAATAGAGAATTGTGGTGAAGGTTGAAAAAATTAAGATTATTCCTAGAGTACAAGAGAGTAAAAAAGTAATTTTAAAAATTGTTAGGAAAATCTCATTAAAAATTTTTTCATCTACTTACAAACCTTGAAATTCACATAATGGATTATTGATCATATTTGACTGCGTGTACTCATCTACACATTGCACCTTTCGATGATCCCCGATGTAGAAAAATGTCACGGATAAAAAGATCAGTAAACTAAAATTAAGACAAAGGACCGTAATTGATTGTTGTTCCCGTTTATTAGGCAACACCAAGTAGCTAAGTAATATTATGAAAACACAGATAAAGGAGACAACACGGAAACCACTCAATGCAGTATAAATATTATCGATCGTATTTGGGGGGTAGAAGTTGTTGGCGTATGGGCAGGCAAGGCAACACCCATTGGCACAAGTTGGTTTTTTGAGAGATGGAGAGGGATCAGGTATGAATGGGGCTGGGCAGGAAGAAACAGGGAGTGAATTTGCGACTGTCGGTAGCGTCGGTAGAGATGACGCGAATGATACGGACGATGTAGCGGTTCTGGAGATGGTTTTCGGTGATGCTTTGGTGACTTTCAAAAGATCATCGTCAAGTCGTTCACGGTCCCCTGAATATAACAAGGGAGACCGTTTAAATATCCTTTCTCCATTTACCACGTAAAGCCCTAGCAACACGCCAACGATAATGCACAATGTTGAAATTTGATGTTGTCTCATTTTCTTTTTTTAAGTAGAAGTTTACTATTAAAAAGGTACTTGGAATTCTCTCAAGATAAGGTTTCTAGTATCAATGAAATATGGTGATGTTGACAAAGGGATTTAGAAGAACACATTAATTTGTATTCCTGCCAATTTGTCTTTGAGATTACTATTACAATCAACTATTGAGTGGTTTCGTTATCTACCATATGCGTGCAGAACGTTAAAGAAAACGTGATAAGAAAAAAAGAGAGAAACCTTTCGCGTAAAAAAGAATTAAATAGAAATTCATGATCATCTGATAATTAAATATTGGATGGTAATTCACGGGTTTTGTGAAGACGATGCGTCTTTAACGTTAGCTTTCCATGATGCTTCGGCACAATTAACATATTAAGTTATTACTCTGCGAATGTTAGTTTAATTATCAACGAGGTAACCGTAAAGGGAGCGAATGAATCCAATTTAATTAAATACGAAATGCGTGACCAATAGAGATTTATTGTGCGAAATGTGAAAAGAACGAGAATAATATAAAACCCACTCAATTTGGAATGTTACGTAAAGTTAACGTGAAAATCCAATTTACCTAACGATTCGCATTTAGGATCAACACGGAGATGCTACGAACGCATTACAGTTTGAAGATCTTTAGCACAGATCTAGCTGAAATTAAGATATTGTATGAACCATAACTCGTAAGTTACTTAATTCGGTACAATATTAAGACCAGGATTAACGGATGTACAAAATGAATGTCATAATAAAAATAATGTATTAAATTAAAAGAAAAAAATTCATTAAGTTTCGAAATACATCGATCACAACCGTCGCGCTATAAGAAGCCAGATTTTCTTTACCAAAGGCCATCAGATTATTCGTTCCTATGACCAGAGGTAATTAATTATTCTTTCCCGAATCCAGCTTGAAAAGGTTTCTCATCACGTTCTAATATTTCTTTGTACTCTATTAGAGTTATCAGTATCACACCATGCCTTCGGAATAATTATTTTATTTACTTGTTTGTTTACCTTGTTTACTAGTCCATACCCCCACAGTATTTATTTTACCTACTTTCTGAATGGAAGTTCGTTTTACTTGCATCATTATAGAATAAAATTAAACAATTAACTCGCTAAAAGAATGAACCAAGGTATGCAACGTTGAATCATGTGAATCTCGCGCCATTTACATTTTCTGTTAAAGTGTTTTGTCCGAAACTTGCATTTAATTGAAAAAATCAACCAATTTATTTAGAATCCAAAACATAGTGTCTAGGTTATCTATTAGAGTTTTTAATAATAGAAGATAATTCTATTAAAAAATATTCTTAAAATTAAATAATTGAAGTTATTGGTCCAGAGCGTAAGTGTAGGACTATATATTTCCATGTAATATAATAAAAATGTCGTGTTAATAATTGATCCGATGAAGCCATTGGATCCAATTGATGCACAAATCTGAAATAATAAACTTGTAAAGCTCCAGACTTAACAACGGTTTCCGTTTCCCTAGCGCTAGTTTCAAAAGAAACAAAAGACATTACTATAAATCAAATTTGATAATCGAATATTAACCAATCAATCTTTGAAAACATTTTCAAATACATATTTTTCAGGCAATTTTATTTATTTATTAACTTAAAAATCAGAAAAAAAAAAGAAATGAAATAGAAAATAAATAAATATTATTTTAAAAACTACAGTATTTTTGCAATATGCAAGATTTACCAATATAAACAAATAATAAAATAATTTATTTATCGTGAAGTATTTTTAAAATTTTTTTTGATTTTTTAATAGGTAACATAAAGAGTTTGATTATTTCAAAAAATAAAATTTATTATTATTTAATTGTTTTAAAAAGATCGGAATAACAAATTTTACTAAAAAAATTTTTTTTAATATTTTTGTTAATAATCAACAAATTAATAATCTTTTATTTATTTAAATAAAATGATTTGATTATTAAAATTATATAAAAAATATATCTAAAATTATTGCTTTTTTATTGAAAATATTATTCACCAATTTATGTAATATTTTATTTATAATTATAATGTATATAAAATAATGATAATAATAAAGTTTTTATTGAATAAACTTTTTTCTGATAATTTTTATTATATACTGTAACCTATCTGAAATAAAAGAAAATCAGAACAGATAAATCCTTGTTTAAAGATTTTTTTTTTTTTAAAAAAACCAAATCAATATCGAATGTGGACATCTCACAAGTACAGTATTTCAAATATTCGGTATTTCATTTATTTATTTCTCCAACATCTAAAGATCCCTTAAAATACTTTATAATAGATGATTTTCTCGTTTGGATATTTTCTTTTTTTTTTTCTTTTACTGTAAATCAAATAAAATATTACAAATCCGTAAAAGATTATTTCGATTTAATGTTAATACTTTTAATTGGTTTCAATTGGTTTACAAATTAAACTTTATAGGTTTTTAAAGTATATGATAGTTTGTGAATTATAATCATAGAAATCCGAAATATTTTAAATGATGTTTCTATATCCTTAAAGCGAAAAGGTGTAATAACAATGACAATTGTGAAAAAATAGGTATCTCTTAAAAAAAGTATATATGATATCTTGATGTTTACGTAATTCTTTAAACTCTCGCAAGGGAGTTTCCCGATTATTTCGTCGAATGCTTTACCAATTGGATTCATTTGTTTCATAGGATTATAATAGTACATGCTATGCTTTCGTCACGAATTCAATTAAACTTTCATAATAATGTTTATGCATCACAAATATGGTTGGTGAAGTTTCGGTAAAGTTTCAGTGAAGTTTCTTTGGTCCATTATTTTGTTGAAGTCAACAATCGCAATTCTGAATTGCGTACATGGGTTGAAGTCTTGGTATAAAAAGAACCGGAATGAACGAAAGCCGCTTGCTAAGATTCGAAAATCTCTTAATAATTTTCACTGACGCATTTATCAAATAAACTGACCTGGTTTCAATAATATAATGGTGTCGAAAAGTTTTTTTTCTCCTCGTGGAGTCGTGATTCTCTTAATTTCTTTTATGATGTGTATTCAGCCATTATTTTTCTTTCATGCATTTGGAATTCCTTTGAAAGTAAACGATGGTAAAATGATCTCAAAAAGACATGACGATAGTAAAAACTCAAGTAAGAATATTCGACGCGTTTTTACGTGTTTCTTCCTACTAACTTGTCTGAACTTTTTAAAGCAAACATAGTCTCCAGCAATTTATGCGATAATAACGTGAAACAGGTATTATTTTATCTGACGATACTTAATCCTCATTAAAATTTATTAAAAAAATCTTTGTTTTTTGTGCATAGCATTCTGGCTACATCGAGATTGCCCCAGGCGCCAATATATTCTTTTGGTTTTTCGAATCTCGCAACAATCCCA